CGCCACCTTAGGTGTATGTGGCTGGCGCCTTAGCCACTTGAGCCACAGGCGCCGAGCCTATGTACAGTTTTTTAAGAAACTACTAAACTGGCTCAGGGCCTGTGGCTCAGTGACTAGGGCATCAGCCGCATACACCAAGGCTGGTGGGTTCGAGCCTGGCCCAGGCCTGCTAAACAACAATGACAACTGCAACCAAAAAAATAGCCAGGCGTTGTGGTGGGCGCATGTAGTCCCAGCTATACTTGGGAGTCTGAGGCAAGAGAAGCACTTTAAACCCAAGAGTTTGAGGTTGCTGTGAGCTGTGATGCCACCACACTCTACCAAGGGTGAAATAACGAGACTCTTTCTCAAAAAAAAAAAAAAAAAAAAGAGAGAGAGAGAGAAAAGAAACCGCTAAACTGTTCTGCAAAGTGATTTTGTCATTTTACGTTTTCACCACCAGTATGACACAGTTCTCAGTTTCTCCATTTCCTTGCTAATATTTAGTATGGTCTCACAATAATCATAGTCCTGTATCTCATTGTGGTTTTAATTTGCTCTTCCCTAGTCACAAATAATATTGATCATCATTTTCTGTGTTTATCTGCTCTTTTGCCTATTTTTCTTTACTTGGCTGTTTTGTTTTCTTACTGTACAGTTTTGAGATTTCTTTATAATATTCTTATGTAAGTCTGTTATTAAATAGATATGTTGCAAGGATTTTTCTCTCTCTAGTTTGTCTTTTTATGCTCTTAGTGACTTTTGAAGGGAACAAATAGATAAAGTCCAGTTTACACATTTGTTCTTTATGGATTGTACTTTTTGATTTTGTATTTAAAAAGTTTTTCCTTAGCCCAAGGAAAATGATATTTTTACAATGATATTTTTCCTATTTCCTTTCAGAATTTTTCTATTTTTAGTTTTACATTTTGAGTTAATTTAGTATATGATCCAAGGTGTGAACTGTAGGTTGGTTTGTTTTTTTGCTTTTTGCTTTTTACATTAGGACAATGAATAGTTCTAGTACCAGTTGTTTAAAAGATTATCCTTTTCTCCATTGAATTTCCTTTGCATCTTTGTAAAAAAAGAGTTCTGTAATATAAATTCAATACAATAAAAATAGTATTTGTTAAATTTTATGGGATCAATTTTGTAGATAAATCTTAAAAAGCTAATGTTCTGAATTTCATCTTTTTATCACAGTGTTTCTTAGAAGTATACCTGTTAGGAAAAAAAAAGTGGATTCTCTTCAGTTTCTTACACACTTTTTTAAAATTTTAAACAAAGAATAGTATTTTAAAAATTGCATTTAAGAATTGCATATATTCTAGGTATTTAGCAAATAAATATTTGTATTCTAAATTTGTTTCAGGTAGTTGATGTCACTTGGCGATACTCTTGTAAACATGAAGAAGTGATCTCCAGAAGAACTGAGATTAAGGAAGAATTACTTCGAGAGACTATTAATGGGCTTAATAAGCATGTATGTGAGGATTGTTTTTCATTCTTGAGAACACATTTGAGTTTTTTTGTATAATGAAGAATGGCCAATTTTTAACCCATTGAAATTCTTAAAGTACTAGCATTGTTTTGCATGCACGATAGCTTAGTATCTTAAATTTCTTTTATGTTTACTGAATTTTGAGGCCTCATTTTAAATATTATTTTTTTTAATTTTATATTCCTTTGATAGTTGAAATTTTTAACTCTGTACATGTGGGTTTTGTTTTTTTTTTTTATAATTTAAAAAATAAACTAAATTTAGTAGACAGTTAGAACAGGGAAAATCACCCTACGCCAATCAGAAATTGAGATTCAAGGGGAAGTTTTAGTTTTAAATTTGCTTTTATTCCTACTGTGTAGCCCTTCAGAGACTCCAGCCTAATTTGTAGAGTCTGTTGCCTTAGAAGGCTCTGAACTCCGGTTTATTTTCTTCCTAGCACTGTGATTCTGCTAAAGCAACTTGTTTTCAGCCCTTTAGTCACATTTTGTGCATGGCTTCTCAGCCTCTTCTCCTCATGCTATTTAATAATTGACAAATGCTTGGGAGGAATAAGAGGTACAGTGTGTTTCCTTCACCTCACTTCATTTCTTGCCAGCTGGGTGGCTTTTTGTTGCATTCAAACAGGTGTGTGCTCTGTGTGTGTGTGTGTCTCCTCCGGCTTCTCTAGCTTTTCTCAGCAAGACAGTTGTCTAACACAAGCTAATCCACCATATCCAGAAGCGGAAGTTGCTTACCTTCATTGTAAATACATCTGTAGTAGAGGTCATGGAGAGTTGGAAATAGGTGTTAAATGATTTTGCAACATAAAATTTGTAAAATTTTTTAAGTTTCCAGTGTCCTTCTTATTTTCCAAGTAATATACGTATGAAAGTAAAACTGATTTTTTTCAAGACCCCTTAAAATACAAATGTTTCAAGTATATTCTTGCTTAGAGATGGACCTCTACATTCCCTTAGTCATAACAACTTTTTTAAAACATCAATTACAGAGGCAACTATCTTTATCAGAAAACAGAAGAAAAGAACTTCTCCAGAGGATAATTGTGGAACTTGTTGAATTTATATCTCCCAAAACACCTAAACCTGGGGAACTTGGTGGAAGAATATCTGGGTCAGTGGCTTGGAGAGTAGCCCGAGGCGAAATGGGCGTAGAGGTATTTAACTCATTTTAGCATGATCATCTTGTTATTTATTGTCCTGCTTCCTACACTGTGCTTTTTGCTTACAGAAAACTTTATTGACTATGACTTTAGATTAATTTTGTAGAGTAATTATTTAAAAGTGGAAACCTTGAGGAGAACCAATAACTGACATAGTAAATCACGTGAGAATTAGCAAAACATTTTGGGATTTTTCTATTTTTTACCTTATGTAAATTTGTAGTGCAGTATTACTTTTACTGAAGCATGTACAGAAAAATGCACAAATGATAAATGTATAGCTTAACAAATTTTGCAAATTTATCACTCATGTAACTACAAACCAGAATAAGAAATAAATCAGTAGATGGGCGGTGCCTGTGGCTTAAAGCAGTAAGGCGCTGGCCCCATATACCGGAGGTGGCAGGTTTAAACCCAACCCCAGCCCCGACCCAAAACTGGAAAAAAAAAAAAAAAAAACTAGAACCCCAGAAACAAGCATAAGTTCTTTTCCGGTCATTGCCTTCCCTAAAAGTAGCCATTATCCTGGCTTGCAGCATCATATATAAATTTTGCCTATTACTGTGCTTTACATAAATGGCATTAAATACTATACTCTTTTGTGTATAGCTTCTCTTGTACAGATTATGTTAGTGAGATTCATATATATTACTAGGTTTATACTCATTGCTGTATAATGTTCCATTGTATGAATAGCCTATAATTTGATAGCTATTTGGGTTAGTCCTAGGTTTTGGCTGTTAGCCAGACATTCCTATTCATGTTTTCAGTGGATATCTTCGTGTTCAGTTGAGTGTAGATTATACCTAGGAGTGGAATTGCTTGGCGATGAAGTGTGGGTTTGTTCAGCTTTGGTAGCCAAACAGTTTTGCAGAGTGTTGTGCTAGATTTTACTCTCAACAGCAGTATATGAAGTTTTTCCACATCTTTGTATATACTTATTACTATCTGTCTTTTTCATTTTAGCAATTCCAGTGGTGTATAGTAGTATTTTAGTTTCCATTTGGTGATGACTTAGTTCACTGTTCTTTACATTTTTGGATATCTTCTTTTGTGAAGTGCTTGTTCAGGTCTTTAAAAATGAGATTTTAAATGCTGTCCCCATATTTGAAAACTTTATAAAGTACAGTGGGGTAAATATAGAATTTGGTTATAGCACAGAGCCTTTCCCTAGGGCCCCTTATTATAAAAAAAATAAGATTTTTAGTAATTCAGCTGATGAAAGTGTGTATTTCTTGGTGTGCGCTTTCATACATCCAGTATTGGCTAGAAATTTTTAGTGTGATTGTTATTTTATCAAATTTAAGAAATTATCACTTGATTTATCTCCTAAAAGTTAAATGACAATGGAAATATAGTTCCTATAGTTAAGCCCTATAGTTAAGGGCTAGGTAAAAATCAATGTGTTAAGGTGGACTTGGGAAAGTAAAATAGTCTGTTCTTTGCCCTTACGCAACTTAAAGTTTAATCCCTGGAAAGTATTTAATGTAAATGTGTAGGTCTAGGAAGATATTCAATAAAAAATACTTGGAAAGAAAATAACCCATCACGAGCAGTTCCAAAGTTTTACATCTGCTTTTTCCAAATTTTCTGTTGATGTAACTTATTTTTCTAGTAAAGAAGTATGTCCAAAAGGAATGAATTATCTGTAATAAATCTTTTATTTGCTTTTTAATTTATCCCATCATCTGTAGCAGGCAGTTAGAAGTGTTGGTTCAGCCATAGAATTACAAGATCTAAATTCAACAAATAATTCAAATCACTGCTGATGCAGTGCAAGTTACAAGTATAAATCTAAATGAAGCCAGTTAAAAAGAGCCAATTTAATTCACAGCTGTGTTCAATTTTAAAGCATGGATATTATTTAGGTCTTCATTTCTTTTTCTTTTTATAGATGGGTGTGCTACCTCTTGCATGGCATATAAGTTGATTAACTTTAAAAATACAAATTGGGTCATGTACCAGAATCGTTTTCTTTTTTGAAAATTTTTTTTAAATTTTTCAGTTGCTAGGGACCATTTCAAGGCCATGGATTTGACAAGAAATTAACTTTCCCCTTTAGAAATGGTGCTTGTTTTAAAAGCAAATAGAAAATTGTTAATTCTAAAGCATTTTGGAACTAAATCTTACAATCAGTTGTAAAAAGAATGAAATGTTGGTGATATGGTTTCCAAAAAGAAAAAGTTTATTAATTTTAGGTTTGAAATATTTTATGATACATTGATGTTATTTTGAACTAGAATATAAAAATTGCCTGGAATTTTAAGGGAAAACCTGAGCTTTTATAGTATTTTTACACATGCAGACTGTTTCAAGCAATACTTCTCAGATGCTCTCCTAGCTTAGGGTATCAGAAGAGGACACTCTTATGAAATAGCTTTAGGTTGAGATCTGAAAATAAGAAATAGTTCAGTATATAGAAAGTAGAAAGATCAGCATTCTAGAGAGGGAGCAGCATGTGTCAAGGCACTGAGACAGAAACCAGCTGACTTTTTTTTTCCTTGAGACTGAGTCTCTCTCTGTTGTCTGGCTAGAGGTACAGTGGCATCATCATAGCTCACAGCATCTTCAAACTCATGGGCTCAAGGGATCCTCCTGTCTCAGCCCTCTGGGTAGCTGGGACTATGAGTGTTCACCACCACACCCAGCTAAGTTTTCTATTTTTTTATAGAGATAGGGGGTCTTGCTCTGCTTAGGCTGGTCTGGAACTCCTGACCTCAAATGATTCTCCCACCTCTGCTTCCCAGAGTGTTAGGATTATAGGTGTGGGCCATGGCCCAACTCCAACTGGACATTTTTAAAAAACTAAAGGAATAGTAATATGGAAAAGAGTGAATAGATGAAAGGGTTGAAACAGTAACATGAGATCTTATTGGAGAAGTAAGCAGGGGTGGGATCATTTAGGGCCCTAGTAGCCTTGGTAAAGAGTTTGGAGTTTAAGTATATTGAGAAGTCAGTGAAGTGAATTAAGCAGGAAAGTGATGTGTCTCAGTTTTAAAAAAATCACTTCCATTTGCTATGTGGATTATGCATAGGGAGAGGTAAGAGGGAAAGCTGGGAGTGTACTTTAAGAGACAATCGCAGTATCCAAGTAAGAGATGCCACTGGTGGTAGGAAAGAAGAAAAATAAATAGATTAATGGAACACAAAATCACAAATATGTCAGAACTCATACTGCTTGTTTGTTCTCTAGTAATGTTTGGTGCTACATCCACATCATGCTAATTGTATTTTCTGTCAAATGTTTTCCCAATTTTTCAGTAGTAGCAATGCTTTCTTTTCAAGTTGAAGGAGTCTCTTATCACCATGCATAATAATTCCTTTCCTTGTTCTTTTTATTCTAAACATCTTTCATAAAGTTGAAAAATTAATTCTGCTTTCTTTTTAAGAGAAAAGAAACTCTGTTTATCCCCTCTGAAAATGAGAAGATTTCTAAACAGCTCCACCTTTGTTATAATATTGTGAAAGATCATTATGTTCGAGTTTCAAATAACAATCAGACCATTTCTGGATGGGAGAATGGTGTGTGGAAAATGGAATCCATATTCAGAAAAATTGAAACAGACTGGAACATGGTAACTCAATTCATGAAACCATTTTAAAGCTTTGTCGTTTAAATAAATGTAGATTGGCTTTATTTTTCAGTTGCACAAAATGTGAAAACTGATACATTAGCATTATTTTTAGTAACCTTTTAACCTGGAAAAGAAAATTCCATTCCTAATGCCTAATCAAAAGTCTTCTGGAAATTCTTGCATTTATATCAAGGAAGTATCTGTTTTCATCAGAGAGGCTGAATTTAATTCTTTTGTGTGGAAAATAATCAAGTATGTGACCAGTTTGTTTTATTGTGTGAATGTATAATGTATATTGCTATTTAATTTCTGCACAGATACATATTGACTACTAAATGCAGGCCATTAGGGAAAATAATAGATTTAATCCACAATCCCAAGAAGGTACCTCTCTAACAAGCTTTCATTTCATAATAATGTGGATGATTGAGCAGTGAAATTGGTTATTTCTTCTGTGTCCTAAAAAAATGAATAACTAGAGGCTATGACCATGGTGGTTCCAGTTTACCAACTTGCACATTGATTGTCGTCATGTTGTCAGTAACAAGAGTTTTTGCCTTTCAATTGCCCTAGTTTTTAGAAATACACCAAAAATAAACTCAGAACTATTCATAGGACCTAAATAGATGAGACCATATTGTTGATAGATTTTCATGGGAGTTAACTTACAGAGAGCTTTTAAAGTTGACTTGCTAAAATATGTGATTGGGAAGGAAAGTTGTTCACTTGTAAGACATGTTGGATGGATTTAAAAAGTGAGTCACAGATTAGCAGCTGCTAGTGTTTATGAGTATCTACTGTATGCTGTCACTGTATTAGGCAATAATCAGTACAGAAGACATACAGAGATAACATCTTTCCTTTTTTCTCCCTCAATCATAAGTTTTTGTTTCAAAATTTATCATGGTCCTTAAACATATAGATACTAAAGCTTAAATTACATTATCTAATAGTAAAAGTTGAGGTGTTTTTGTATTAAACCAAGAATAACTTAGAGCAGTGGTTCTCAACCTGTGGGTCGCGACATTAGGAAGATTGAGAACCACTCACTTAGAGGATTATTAATATTAAATTTTGGAAGTTTCTTCTTTGGGCTAAAGAAGTGCATAAAAAATAAAAAGATAAAATTTAAAATTTCATTGTACCCCACGACTGCATTAATGTACACAGCTGTGACTTAATAAATAAATAAAATGCTAGTATACACCCAGCAGCCAAAAAAAAAAAAATTTAAACTTTTAAGATGTGTATATCTTAAAATGCGTGTAAATGATAATACATTGAACATCTTCTATGTGAAGATGTTGTGAACATCTTTTGCACAGCCATACTTAGTCTAAAAATTCCTCTCAACAGAAAGCAGGACAGAATAAAAGTGATAATTTATCTGAGAACTAGTGCTTTCTTACCTGGAGAAAAATCATACATTCCTTCCTAACCAGCAGTGTTAATAAAGAAAGTAATGATGGAGAAAATAATGACGCGTTATAGAAGATGTGTTGGGTTGAGCAACAGGGTTACTCTATGGCATATTCACCTTTGGCTCACACACTCATTTGTTCATCAGCAAACATTTGCTGAGTGCCTGTAGTGCCAGGCATTATTCTCAGCTACATGAATAAAAAGACTGTTCCTGCCCTCATGATCTAACAGGGAAAACTGAAGCACAAACAGCCATCTTTACCAAGATGCAGAGTGCTATAATAAGGATATCAACACATTGCTATGGAAACACCGAGGTGGGAGTAATTAGTTCTGGCTGTGGGAGTTGGGCAAAGCTCCACAGAGCAGGCGACATTTGAGCTGAATGCTAAAGGATGAGTAGGTGTTTGTCGGGCAAGGAAACAGGAGAAAAAAGGCCTAGAGTATATGGCATGTTTTAAGATCTTGAAATAGAACTTTGCGGCCTGAGAGGATATATTGTATGAGAATATATAAATACATAATATTTATATATTATAAATAATATAAATGAAAAGCAAAGGCCATTAAATAGAAAACAGACCCCCCCCCCATTCAAGAAAACCATATTCTGATGTACTTTTACGAAGGTGCCAGTTTTGAAAAGTTGAGTGCATCTCCTAGCTATATTATTTAGTCTCAAATGAAGAAAGGGCCTATACTTGTATAGAGTATTAACTCAGAAGCAAGGATTATCATTAACTTGCATATTCCATCTAAATCAGCATTTCTTCTATACTAGTATGCCCCAATTAGGGATCTTCTCACTCTATTGGATATTAAAGCTGCCTCCCATCACACCTTTCCTCAGTCATCTTCAACTCACTATCATGACAAATCACTTGCAGCCTATTCTCAAATTTTTAGAACAGATTCTAACTTTCTCAAAGAGGGTATACTCCCAGGAGCACAAAAGACTTATTCCGTTTTACTTCTTAGCAAATACATTGTTTAGTAATGCCTGAATTGGAAAGAATATAAAAAGCAAAATCAAGAAGACTAGTACACTTTGGGGGAGCAAGTGATAACATTTTTATAAAAGCAGGGTTAATAAATTCCTGCCTAGTCTCTCTTATCTTCCTTCGTGCTTCCAAAGATGTGCCCCATGCTGTACACACTTTCAAAACTTCAGTTATTTAGTGCTATTAGAATAAGAAACAGCTCCAAGGGTCTTCAGAGTCTGGCCCATGTCTCTTTCTCTGGCTTTGCTTTACACCCGCCACCTCTTACTCTCTGCACCCCCTTGCTCTGCATTGCAACTGCAGCCCTTCTATCCTCTCTACAGAACCTCCTTAATTTTCTTTTTTGCTTGATTAACTTATTCCTAGAACTTGCTTAAGTCTTACTCCTTTTGGTCCCAGCCAACTAAATCCATTTCCCTCTTTGTAGATTTATTTTATGTATTGTACCTCTCTTTCATGACATTTATTTAACAAATATGTGTAAGAATTTGTGTCTCACTTGATTATGTTCATTTCTCAGGACAGAGACTTTATCTTTTTCTACTCACTTTTGTACTCACAGCGTTCATTTATCTAGCATAATGCCTAACACATTAAGTGTTTAGTAAAGAATGTTGAATGTAAGAATAATTGAATATATGTGGCATAAATTCTGCCGTCACCCTAGGCCTGTGTATAATGCTGTAGATACTCTGCTTTGCTCATAGGGTCCCTTGGATGTTCTTAGATACCTTTTACTTTTGATGAGTTTTATCACTCTCTTTGTCTCTACATGAGTCATTGTAGCGATTTTTGGTGCATGGCATTGTGTCAAGATTGTATTTAGTGCTCAACAAATATCCACATTGTGAAACATTGTACTTGGCCTTTGGGTTGTAATGGTAAATTAAGAAGCAAGACTCAAGGTGGGCATTGACTAATATAAAAGAAAGACACATAAGGGCCAATTGTTTAAGTTAATGGGGTAAATGCTGGAAGAAAATGTATATCTGTATATGATACCACAGAAGGAAAAACAGAAGAGCAACTAACATCTTGAGTCTGAGTGAAATAAACAGAACTCAATTTTTTTTTTAATTCTCTGAATAACAATCAGCATTTTAGAAGGCATGTGTGATCAACTACCTGGGCTTCCACCCACCCCGAACTAGCAAACAAGCAATTTTGTAGCAGACACCAGCCAAGTGTCCTCTCATTCAATTCAGTTCTGACACTAGCTCCCTGCAAATAGCATCAGATCCCAAAAGTTGAGGGCTTAGTCCCTAAGACTGCCCACCTCCCTTCAGATGCAAATCACAAGCTCAAACTAAAAATCAGGCTTAAATTAGTGTTCCCACATCTCCTTCCTTGGATTCAGTTAATTTGTTAGATTTGCTCACAGAGCTCAGGGAAACATGTTGACTGGTTTATTTCAAAAGATACTACAAAGGATATAGATAAAGAGATGTATAGGGTAGGTGTGAGAAGGGATGCAGAACTTCCATGCCTTCCCTGGGTGTTCAGCAGTCTGAGAGCTCTCCAAACCCTGTCCTTTTGGCCCTTTTATGGAGACTTCATTGGATAGGCATGATTAACAACCTTGTAGAAATATGGTTGGGCATAAAGGGTACAATGTAATACTAACAGACTGAGCAGAGAAACCCAGCAAGGCCTGTCTGTTCAGATTCTTTTTGGCTCCCCTTGTGCAGCCTGCCTTCCTCAAGGTGTGGGGCAGGAACCCTTCTGAAATGGGGTTCTTATGACCCACAATCACAGAAGGTAGGTCAGAGAATTTCCTTATGGCCAACTCCAAGACAGAAAGGCAACGAAAGCGTATACTTGTATATTTTTAGTTTCTCTAGTCTGCCTTGCAGAGAAATATAACAACAAGGGCTATGAAATTTAAGAATAGAACCTAAACATAGATAAAAACTCATGGGTTTGTGTATGTTATGTACATACACACATCATAATGTCACGGTTATGGAAGGTCTTGCAGCGGAAGTGCTATCTGAGTGGACTGGAAAAGAGGGAGAGTTTCTCAGCATGAGGACAGGATTTGGAAGGGGAGGTTGTTTGGGGGCATGGAAATAATGTGTGCAAAAGTACCAAGATGAGAGACATTGATAAATTCAGGGAAGAGTGAGTAACAGGGAATATGGAGGAGAATCATGGGAAATGAAACTAGGAAGATAAACGGTTGCCAGGTCCCAGGGACTTTGATTACCTTGCAGTTAGGTAGTAGGACACTGAAAGGGTTCACGGAGGGGAAGGACATGTTCACACTGGTGTTCCAGAGAGGTAATTCCAGAGGGTGCAAATGAAATAAATTGGAAGTATGGCATAGAAAAATTTAGTAGGAACTGACAGTGGATTTGTGTTTGATTTCAGTGATAAATGGAATAACCAAAAATAGGATCCATGAGCAATACTAGATTACCAGCATTGAATTAAAATCCGGTAAAATATAGCTGCTCTGCAGGTAATCTGTAGGAAGGACTGACTTCAGGGTGCCTGCTATATGGTGAACTCAATTTGAGTGAATCTTAGCGGCCTTAAGTAGAAGAATAATTTTGAGAGTGTACTAAAGAACAGCTTTAAACAATGCAGGACAAATGGAACCTCCAGGGAACCAAAGCAGCCTGACATGTAGTAATCAAAAAATCTTTATCCAAACATCTTCTGTAGAATGTGAAATGAACAGAGAAGGTGGCATGCAAATTGTTCTGTCCTGAAAATAATTGTTACAGCTACAACCCAAAGGACATGTTTCATTTGTATAATTATGAATAGTGCAGCTTAGACCCCAAGCCATAGACAGATACGTTGATTTTGCTCTGACCTACGTTTTTTGTATGCCTGTATATGCTCATACATATCATAAAGGTGCAAGGGCGGATCACTGGTGGGAGAGGGATAGGAATGACAGAGAGAATTCATTCTACAGGAGAAAAGCTCTCTGATTTCTGGTTTTACTAGGATTCCTACTAAAGTAAGATAGCAGTTCACCTCTTAATATACCACAGATTGCAAAACTGTACATGAAAAACTTCATACAGTAACTTAAATTCATGAACTTAAAAAGCCAATAGGCAAAAATATGTCTCATATAATTCAGGAAGTTAGAAACAGCCAACAGTTTTAAAATGTTTATTTGTCTCTAAACCAAACAAGTGAATATTTGAGAGCTTAGAAAGTATTTCCCCCCCTAAATAAATTATAGTTTCTGTTGATAGGTTCTGTTGATAAAATTATAGGTTCTGTTGATATTATGCATAGGTAGGATCACAGCTGGAGATTTTTATATAAATTCTATTTTGGTGCATTTCTAATTACAAAACTCAGTATACATATTCTTGATAACTTTTAAATACCTCAGTAATGATAGTTAAAATCATAATTGTGCTGGGTGCAGTGGCTCACATCTATAATCCAGCACTCTAGTAGGCCAAGGCTCACAGATTCCAGTTCAACCTGAGCCAGAGCAAGACCTTGTCTCTAAAAATACCCGGGCATTGTGATGGACACCTGTAGTCCCAGCTACTTGGGAGGGTGAAGCAAGAGAATTGCTTGAGCCCAAGAATTTGAGGTTGCTGTGAGCTATGATGCCATAGCAGTCACCAAGGGCAACAAAGTGAGACTCTGTCTCAAAAGAAAAAAAAAAAATCATAGTTGTGACCCAAAACCATACTATGTAATAAAGGCAACACTTGGAGTGAACTAGAAGTTTGGAGCTGACCTGACTTCAACCTATCACATTTTATACCTGTACTTTGGGGGGGAGTTTGAAGCTACTAAGCTCTGAAAATACACAAGGCACAGAAGTATATATATAGAAACATAAATTTAAGTATATCTATTTTTGTCTTAAGATTGCTTTCCCCATATCTTTTAGTTCTTTCCAACCTCCTTTCTTCCAGTTACACATGTGTTTGGCTCATCTTTCCCAGATAACCCTCTTTACTAGCTATTCCTTTGAAGAATTAAGCTATGGATAATCCTCAGATGCTCAGTAATGTAGGGTGGGTGAAACTAACAATCCCAGAGAACCCTGGCACAATTCTGAGCCCCAGAATTTGTTCTCTTTACAAACTGCTCTAAGCAGAGCATGCAGGAGGAACGTGAATACAAGAGGATGTTACCGTGAGGTTGTCCTGAACTTAGTCTAGCAAGTGACAATTCCACGTATCTAGGTTTGTCAACAGCAAACAACAGTTGGCAATACATACCTACTTTAAAATCATTTTCCTTGGAGAGTGATTGTTCAGTCATTATATAATCTCTAAGTCACTGATTCTAAAAACTTAATAGGTTTATTTAAGCTGCAAGAAAATGAGATACAGGTTGCCAAATAGTGACTGGAATATTTGCAGTGATTGATTTTTTACTTGATGAGTAAGATGAGAATATAGAATATTACATGTAGTAGATTATTACCCTGGAAAATGTGTTTTACCTGGTACTTTCGACTGTTGCCCCTGAGCTAAAGAGTATGGGTTAAATGTTTCTGCAAGAATCAAGTCTAACTTGAATATATGTATGTTTCTATACAAATTTTTATTTCTTAATATTTACTAAGCCCTTTTGTGAATTCAGAATCTGTGCCCCAGAATCTGAGCTTATGATTTGGTTAAGTTAGGTCAGGCAAATACCCATGAAATAAAATACAGTAGAATTCCATACTTGACCACCTCCCTATATTGACCTCCTCCATAAGTTGACCTAATTTTCATAGACCAGAAGTACCCTCTGTGTACATGTCAGTACAGTAGGCCTAGTTCCTAACTGACCACCTTTGTACATTGACTAGTTTGCTACTAGTCCCATGGGTGGTCAACTTACAGAGGTTGTACTGTAGTTATAGTAGGTAAAAGAGTATGGGAGGTTCACGTGGGATGACATTATGGAGGACTTTGATAGCTAATAGGTTACACTTACTCTAAGAGCTGGGTACTTGCTAAGCATTGCAGGCCAGGCAGATGATGGGAAGAAAGTGAGATTTTATTAATAAAACTTTGATCTGATTGTATTAGTTAAATTGAGCTGTGTTAGGTGGTTGCATTAAGATGAGTTTAAAGTCATAACTACAGTGGTAGTGCAGTATAAGTAAGGAAAGGGTATTTTCCCCCAAGACTTATTTATTTCAAATAAATAGATGTTTGTGGGAGTTTAGACATAAGGGATAAATGAAGTGGTACATTCTTAAGGGATTGAAATTGGTTGAGTGGAATTACCTGCGAAAGACGTAGTCTGTGGATGTCAGTTTTCATGTCAACACCTTGAAGACTTTACATGAAAGTAGGAGAGAGAAGCAACCAGTAAACTTGGGTGCCTTAAATGGTGTACATTTAAAGTGGTAAGAGCCATTGATGATGAAGTAACACAGAGTGTACTATTTAGGAAAGTGGCTATGGGTATAACCTTTTATATCTTAGCCGAGGTATTTTCTTAGAGGCTGTTGCCCACCTCACTTTAGAAAAGCTTATATGAAAATCAAGACTTAGAACATAAGATGAATTAAAGAGTAGTTGCATATAGAATAATTCTTCATTTTCAGCAGTGTTAATCTTAAAGTTCATTTTAAATAACTAAACTTCTTAGTTTAAAAAATATGATTTACTAAAATTTGGTTAACATGCAGTTCTTTAGAGCTACACTTACTGAAGGTACTTGCACTGCATTCAAATAATACCTGATAGAGCAAAAGATGCCTCAGGAAAAATAGCTTTGAAAAATGAAAAATTGTTAGCTATAAGAATCTTTTTAGAGGAGAAAATTAATTTTTTAATAACCATTTGTACATAGTACCCTGTGATAACTTTTCACTGTGTTTATTTCCAGTATTATTGATTATTTCTGACATTTTCTCTCCCTCTTCTCTCCACTTTATAGGTATATTTAGCCCGAAAGGAAGGATCATCTTTTGCTTATATTTCCTGGAAATTTGAGTGTGGGTCAGTTGGCCTGAAAGTAGATAGCATTTCCATTAGAACAAGTAGTCAAACCTTTCATACTGGAATAATACAGTGGAGATTGCAGTCTGATACAGCACGAGTAGACCTGATAGGTGGTAAGCATCTGACTGGAGAATTAATCGTAAAGTATATACTTACCACTCTGAAGACTAATTGTACTTATTTCAGATATAGCTCTTTTTCATACCCAAGGGTTATTAATACTATTGCATTAAAAAAATTGTTACGGCTCGGCGCCTATAGCTCAACCGGCTAAGGCGCCAGCCATGTACACCTAAGGTGGCGGGTTCGAATCCCCAGCCTGGACCTGCCAAACAACAATGACGGCTGCAACCAAAAAATAGACGGGCGTTGTGGCAGGCGCCTGTGGTCCCAGCTACTTGGGAGGCGGAGGCAGGAGACTCGCATGAGCCCAGGAGTTGGAGGTTGCTTTGAGCTGTAATGCCACGGCACTCTACCCGGGGGGACAGCTTGAGGCTCTGTCTCAAAAAAAAAAAAAAATTGTTAAAGTGTCTGGGTGTGGTGGTTCACATCTGTGATCCTAGCATTCTGGGAGGCCAAGGCTGGAGCTTGAGCTCAGGAGTATAAGACCAGACTAAGCAAGAGCAAGACTCCATCTCTACTAATAAAAAAAAATGAAAAATAACTACCCAGGCATGGTGGTACATGCCTATAGTCCCAGCTACTCAGGAGACTGAGGCAAGAAGATTGCTTGAGCCCAAGAGTTTGAGGTTGCTGTGAGCCATGATGCCATAACACTCTATTCAAGGCTATGGAGTTAGACTCTGTCTCAAAAAAAAAAAGTTTTAGAAGTAAAGACTTGTGTAATCTCTTTGTAACAGGAAGGCTGATTTTTTTGTTGTTACTATGAAATGCAAATGCAAAGAGAAAATCATTTCTTTGTTCCAAAGGATGCATTAATCCATAAAGAATAATTTGTATTTATTTTTTAGGGGTTGTTTGTAACCTATAGGTCAGTCTATGTAAAATGCATTCCAGAACTATCTCTTTATGCTCTTTAAATTACCAAAAGCAAAATGTTAATTTTTTTTCCCTCTCCCACAGATAAAAATCTTCGCTCCTATCATGATTTTTCTAGTGCCACTGAAGTTATTTTGGAAGCAGAATTAAGCAAAGGAGATGGTGATGTTGCTTGGCAACATACCCAGCTGTTTAGACAAAGTTTAAATGACCACGAAGAAAATTCTTTGGAGATAATTATAAAATTCAGTGACCTTTGAGAACTTGAACATTGTAGAAAAGCTGGCAATAATCAAGGACTTAAACCATGGTCTAAAGTAGTCTGTTGGTTCAGTGCATGCTTAGTTGGCAATTTACTACTCTGCGCTAGCATATTTCTTTTGCTAGCTATCCATCATGTAACCCTTATGAAAATATATCTTTATACTGTGAACCATAATGAAATCTTGAATTAAAAACTTCTTCCATATGTGACTATAATTTGGAGTAAAGTCTTGTTGGCCTAGTGAGCTTTAATCTAAAAACTGTAAGTATAGTTTAAGAGTTAAATGATGGTATTCATGATTAAGGATGATTAAACACTATTCATGATAATGGTAAAATCTTAGGCTTATAATAGTAACTTGACAGTTTCTGATCAGCCATTCATTTCTTCGTAAGTGGTTCATTAGATTTTCTTAAGATTTTTTAATTTTTAATAAATGTGAAAGTATAGTATCTCATAAGTTATATAATGCATGAAAATTTTTATGATTGTAAATATGTAGGCATTTAAGAAATAAAATGAATTATTTTGCCTTATATCTTTTTAGTGGTTACTTTGGCTAAATAAAAATCTTTACTAAGTTTGCTAAACTTTGAAAACCACTTCAATATATGTTAGTTGTGAAAAACATTTAACATTGACAGCATAAATTCAAAGATACATTGTAAATTTCATAATCTGTAGACACTTGAAAATGCTTTGCCTTTCAGTTTTAATTTTATCTACCTCATTTGAATAAAATATTCTTTACTTTAAAACTGTGTAACTGTATATTATATAGTATATCAAGAGTTTTTTGTGTTTTCTATATAACCTCTCCAACTAAGTTCAGTGAATATTATTTGTGTGCAAAGCACTGTGCAGGAAGCAGTGATGAAAAAGAGACCCAAGCCTCCATATTCCTTTTATAATGTTTTGCAAAGTGAATTTCAGTTTTTTACAAGAAAAGGACATACTAAGATTCTCATCCTGTGTAACTTGGTAGAAATACATGCCTTATAAAATATTTAATAGGGGCTGGACACAGTGGCTCATGCCTGTAATCCCAGCACTTTGGGAGGCCAAGGTGGAAAGATTGTTTGAACCCAGGAGTTCCAGGCTGCAGTGAGCTTTGATCACACCACTGCACTCCAGCCTGGGTGACCAAGTGAGGCCCTGTCTCAAAAAAAAGTAAGATCCTGAAACAAAGATCTTGTATTTTCTTTTTGATAATTTTTTTTTATTTCTTTAGAGGTAGGAGTTCTTACTGTTTTGCCCATTATGGAGTCAAACTCCTAAACTCAAGCAGTCTTCCTACCTCAGCCTACTGAGTAGCTAGAACGACAGGTAGTGCCACCACATCCAGTTTATATTTGCTTTTTCTAATTTCTTTCAAACTTGGTTGGGAATTTTTTGCTTAAAAGTTATATTTTAAAAGAAGTAGTTTATATATCTGAAGTTAGTATATACTATGTAGTATGTCTTCAATACTGGAAAGTTTTCTGGAATTCTCAGATTAAGTTATATCAGCCTATAGTAGCCAAGTATTTAAAATTGGAGAGATGTTGACATCGGTCTTGCCCAGTGGTTCTCAACCTTCCTGATGCCTCAAAATGCTGTGACCCTTTAATACAGTTCCTCATGTTGTGGTGACTCCAACCATAAAATTATTTTCGTTGCTACTTCATAACTATAATTTTGCTACTGTTATGAATCATAATGTAAATATCTGATATGCAGAATATATTTTCATTGTTACAAAGGGGTTGGGGACCCAGAGGTTGAGAACTGCTACTCTTGGGTATTATTGGCACAGTATTTTGATGTCCATGTGTACCAACCCTTTTAACACTCAAGAAAAAGCCTAGAGATCCTCAGCAGTTTTATAAAGATGTTAACAGAAGTGTAGGAACTCAGTAGAACATACTTAGATGAGGATTAATCTAATGTATAATAGTATAAATTATAATTAATGTATACATTATACTATTATACATTAGTATAATGTATTATAAAATATTTAATAGGGGCTGGACACAGTGGCTCATGCCTGTAATCCCAGCATTTTTACTGTGGCTTTAAGGGAAAAAATGATTAGAGTTCAAGTGGCCTATAGAGCACAGTTTTTATAGAGCTGAACTGGCCAAGAGAAAAGGTATTTGCATACTTGAATGTATTCCATGAGAGCTTCAACCACAGCGGACTCAGTATGTGTTAACACATAATTTATTATACAGAGTAGTTTGGAAATACTACAGAGAGTATGGAACAAAATAATTCCCAATACATTAAGTGACAGTAAACTGGTAAGGCAAAAGTAAGTTAGGCAAAGAAGGGCCAATAGTATGGACCCTCCATAAACCATTGCTAATATTAAGGTATATTTCATATACTAATCATTTCAGATCTTCTGATTGAATAACTTTCCACTGACATTGCCCATTATTTAAAAAGAATTTATTCCCTGGTTTCTGGTCAGATCCCATTATGATGAATTCCACAGTCTGTTTTTAGCTATATATATATATAGAGAGAGAGAGAGAGAGTGTGTGTGTTAGCAGAAGTCCTTTGCTAGAAATCACAATCTCAGGGTGAACAAAAAAGTACATCTGATGCTTTGATCAATTTACAAGGAAAAGAAGCACCTCTAATTAAGGGAGGGCTAGAGAAGACTTTTTGTCATAGAACATCTTTGAGGTAGAAAGGGTTGTTAGAGATAATTTCACCCAGACTTCTAACTTTTCACTGAGAAAACTCAAGCCCAGAGAAGTTAAATGACCTGTCCAACAAATGGGTGAAACAAGGGTGTGGGCAAGATTAATTTATATGCCTGTCTTTCCTTCTATCAAGTTGCAAGGTCATGGAATCATAGACCTGTGTGTGGGTTGCTGGTTTAGTAGGTATTTCATGAATAGATAACTGTAAATAGAAAAGTTCGAATTGAGAAGGTATTACAGTTGAAATTAGAATGTGTGCTTTTTCTAACTATAGTTAACCTATTCTAAAGATTTTTTTTCTTTACGTCTAAGTTGTGTTTTGATTTTATAATCTAGGCAAGTATACTCCTAAGTGTAGACCAGGTGACATGCCTTCCTTAAAGACTTTCTTAGAGAAGAATAAGAGTAAACTAAAACAAGTTGTGATTGTTTATTCCAACTAGCATATATTCAGTTACATCCTCTATATTGACCAAAATAATGCTTTATTTCTAATAAAGAGACTTAGGATGGACCTAAACTAATAGTGGCCACTTTTTTAGTTCATAATAAATGCCAGTGACTTTCAAAATCTCGTTTGCTCATAGTGCTCTTGGATAGTAGCTAGTGTGTGTTATCTCCATTTCACAGATGATGAAACAGAGAGGCTAAGCCATTATTTTAATGCCTGTATGTATAAAATCCTTCCTTTTTGTAAAATATGGAAATTTTCACCACTCTAAGTGAAAATAAGAGTTGAGGCCTTGCTCTATTAATTTTCTAAAGACTTGATCTGAGATCAACAAAATTGTAGCATCAGCTAGAAATCTCTAAGTCAGTCAGAAAGGGCCTCCAAAAAGCTAAAGTAGTATCATGGAGTCTAACCACTAAAGCTTTTCAATGAGAGGACTTATAGAGTGTCACTCAGTCTAAGAAGTAACAATCTGGTTTTTAAACATTAAAGCCATTGTTGATAAATTCAAAGAAGAAAATACTATGAAAGTGCTGCCTTCACTCCTCTCTACACAGTTGGAATTAACTGCCAAAATTTTTGTATATGTCCTTCCAAAGATTTCCTGTATATTTCCTTATTTATATATGTCTACATCCAGCCTCATGCAGGCTGGATGAGGTGTGGCTCACACCTGTAATCCCAGCCCTGCAGGAGGCCAAGGTGGATTGCCTGAGCTCAGGAGTTCAAGACCAGCCTGAGCAAGAGCAAGACCCCATTTCTACTAATAGTAGAAAAATTAGCCAGGTGTTGTGGTGGGCACCTGTATGTAGTTCCAGCTACTTGGGAGCCTGAGATGAGAGAATCGCTTGAGCCCAAGAGTGTGAGATTGCTGTGAGCTGTGACACCATAGTACTCAACCCCAGGGTGATGAGTAAGACTCTGTCTCAAAAAAAACAAAACAAATGGTTTTGCCGTGTTTATATAAATAGAAGTTTATCATTTTTTCTACTTGTTTTCTTAAAAACATGTCTTAGGGCTCAGTGCCCATCGCACAGTGGTTGCAGCGCCAGCTACATACACTGAGGCTGGTGGCGGGTGGGAACCCTGCCCAGGCCCGCTAAACAACAGTGACAAATACAACAAAAAATAGCTGGGTGTTGTGGTGGGCGCCTGTAGTCCCAGCTACTTGGGAGGCTGAGGTGAGAGGATCACGTAAGCCCAAGCGTTTAAGGTTGCTGTGAGGGCAACATAATGAGACTCTGTCTCAAAAGAAAAAAGAAAAACAACATGTCTTAGAATAGGGTGACCAGATTTTAACATTTAAAGCAGGACAACAAGGGGGGCGGGGCCTGACAACAATGCAAACTTTGATAAGCAGTTCTCTAATCGCTTCTCAACAATTATTTGTTATTATTACAGTTTAACATTATAAAATTAACAAAAATAATATAAAACTCATATTCTGGTGAAATAGCCCCATGGCAGCCAAAAACCGTATATTTCCTTCCTGTTTTCCTGCCCGTTCGTGCATTCTTTCCAAAAATCGGGACTTTTTTAAAACGCCCCGGGACACAGGACAAATTGTTCAAAAGCAGGACTGTCCTGCCAAAAGCGGGACGTCTGGTCACCCTATCTTAGAAGTCTTTCCGTTTTCAGTCACAGATCTGCTACGTTCTTAACTGCTCACCAGTATTCCATAATCTATCCCTTCCCTTATTTTCAGATTTTTAGATCCCCTCCTTTTTTATAAGCACCACCCACTACAGAGAACATCCTTACACATACTTCTTTTCACATATACTGTATGCAAAGATATGTGCATTTTAAATCTTACTAGATACTGTCAATTGCTCTCTAAATAAGAAACACCGATTAATATACCCAGCAAGAATGTTCGAGGCACCTGTTTTCTCCTGCTTTTGCCAAACTAAATGTTGCAGTTGTAGCCAGCTGTCAGTGCTTCTCATCTCCTGACCTTCATGCCTTTGCACATGTCCCCATTACATTAAATTAGAGCTGATCTGATCTGAGACTAGGTCATAAAAAGCCTTGGCTTTCTTGGACTGCCATGCCACTAGGAGGCTCCAGCAGGCCTGTGGAGAGGAACTGAGGCTTCCCTTCAACCAGCAGCACCAACTTGCCAGTCATGGAAGTGGATTCTCCCACCCTAGTCAAAGCCTTCAAGATTGTAGCTTCCTACCCAGAAAAAAAAAATCCTTTTATCATACGTACATTTGCACTAGATGTTGATCACAGCTCAATTTACAATTGCCAAGATGTGGCGACAACCCAAGAATGGATTGATAAACTGTGCTAAATGTGTACCATGGGATACTATTTAATCATAAAAAAGATGGAGACTTTACATCTTTTGTATTTACCTGGATGAAGGTGAAACACATTCTTA